AGTGAGGACAGTCGTAATGAGGCTAAGTGAGGACAGTCGTAGTGAGGCTAAGTGAGGAGAGTCGGAATGAGGCTAAGTGAGGAGAGTCGTAGTGAGGCTAAGTGAGGAGAGTCTTAGTGAGGCAACACACCTGAGAGACGAAGATATGAAGCCTTTGCCGTCAGTGTTATTGTTGCTTCAGTGTTTCTCTGTGGTGCTTCAACAGCCATAAGATCTTGAAGCACGTACTGTTATCATATTTAAACGGATCAATACACTTAATAACTAAGGAAGGTAAATCATACAACAGGAGTCTATGGTGGGTGATGTAGCCTCCATCGACGAGCAATCTTCAAAACGTCTTTATTTATTTATTTTTCACTCATATCTCCTCTGTTTATCATCTTTTCTGTGAGGCTTCTTCTCTTCTCTCTCTTATCTCTCTCGGGTAATATTGAAGTCGGTTCCTTCTCGACTCTGAATAAAAGAATCTCTCGTAGGCTGAATCAGTATGGCACAAGGATAGGTTCTTATGGCTGAGCGTGTAGAGAGATACCAACTTTACAGGACTTCGCTTTCACATCAGGAGAGTCGAAAGAATGTTTTGGCTATAGTATCAATTCGTGGCTGATATCTACTCTTGCGTTAGCTCCTGTAGAAACCTGTCTATTTAAGTTAAGAATAAGTTTTGATAGTTTTCTTTAAGCTATACAAGTTTTTTTTTCAATAATCCTTCTCCATTTTTACTGTTGTTCCTTATCATCATCAGCTAGTTCCTTATTCTCTGTTCTTTATTGCGTGTTTTTTATTATTGTAGTTATTTCATTTAGTTCTCTCTTTAACTTCTTTCATAAATTTCATCCCCCCGAAAGTTTTCTCATTTATCCTTGAGTACAATTACCCCGAGATATTTTACCAGTCTGTTTCTTAATTTATTGGTTGTTATTGGTTACTTATACCCATGCGATCACTTATGCCCATACCGTTACTTATGCCCTACACCACCACTATTATGCCCACACTATCAATTATGACCCATACCAACACTTCATTCATTAGTTGTTACTATTGTTTTATTTTTTTGGCCAGTCTCTGCCCACCACACTCTGCCTCCTTTATTCATTCTCACTGTCTAGCTGACCGTCATCACTGCTCGGGGTCTGCTGCTAGAGGGAGCCACAAGGGTAATTGAATGTGAAGATATAAAACTTTGATGACGGGGCCACCATCTCCAAGTGACCACTCTGACCCCAGCCGACGAGACAGGGCAGTGAAGCGTTTCTTTCTCTTCCTCCGCCCGCCTCTTCTTCTCGTCCTCTTTATTATTTTTTTCCTTACATTCTTTATATTCTTTCTTAGACTTTCTTCATCCCACTTCTTTCACCCGTAAGACTCATATAAGAATTTTTGCCCGAGGCGTAACTCCGGTAGTTAGAGACGACTTACAGACAGGGAATAAAGTCCAACGACTCATAAAGTGTGTTAGGCTGAGACAAACTCCTCTCTGGCATCTACGACTCAGCCACGACCACACCGTCACGACCACACCAACGCGGAGGGCCATGCCGTCACGATCAAACTAACACGACCACACAATCTCAACCACACTGTCCACACCGACAAGACCACACCAACACGACCACACCGTCATGACCACACCAACATCAGACAGTAACCATCAACCTTCATGGCAGGTCAGAAGGATGAAATTTAGGCACACGAAAAGTCATCCACTAAAACACACTACAGTGAACCCTCCCTATAACGGACTGCTCTCGTCATATAGTAGCCCCCCCCCCCCATAGAATCCGTTAAATAGAGACTACACTATGATATATTTCTCTCCTTCATTATATGTAAACTATGCATAATAGCCATAATGGTGAGATGGTAATTATACACTATACTCAATGTTGTAAAGTATTATTAAGTAAGCAATAGTATTATACGTTTGGTCAGGGGAACAATCATGAGAGTGGTTCCGTAAATCATTAAGCCACACAGGTATTAGCTGAGTGGTCAGGTGAGTCGTGGCTATTACCTATATTACCATGATGATTACAATTAACTTAAGGAGAAATTACAGAGACACTTGATATTAGTAAGTGTGTCTTGTTTTGTTTTTGCTGTTTTTTTTAAGTTAATAGAGTGTGTGTGTGTGTGTGTGTGTGTGTGTGTGTGTTGTATGTGTGTGTGTGTGTGTGTGTGTGTGTGTGTGTTGTGTGTGTGTGTGTGGTGGCTGGGTGTGATGACTGGGTGTGATGGTCGATGATGGCCAGGTATTATGGCCAGATATGATGGCTGGTGTCCAGCTATATCAATATTTGCTGATGAGGTCAATTTGTAGGAAGAGAAGCCAAATGAAATTAAGCACCTGGATAGTTGATGACCAAAGGTCTTAGATGTTGTTCTGAAATAGGGTGTGTGTGTGTGTGTGTGTGTGTGTGTGTGTGTGTGTGTGTGTGTGTGTGTGTGTGTGTGTGTGTGTGTGTGTGTGTGTGTGTGTGTGTGTGTGTGATTAAAGACGAAGCTATATAATTCCCGACAAAAACAATAACAAGTTCCAGTTGACAGTGTTCCTTAAGTAGCGCTAAAGATGTGTTCCTTGAAAGTAGCTCCAGATTCTTTAAAAGCTTTCCAAACTTTCGTCTTCCTCACAAGTATAGTCAATGTCAGGTTAGGTTAGGTTAAGTTAAGTTAGGCTAGGTTAGGTTAGGTTAGGTTACATATCTCCTTCGTATGATATAACATAACCACAATTCTTAACCCGAATCATTTAACATAACCAAAAATTTAACTCGAATCATATCCTAATTAATCTACCAAACACTGTAAGTATCTTGTGTTCTTATTAAATAGAATATAATATAAGAATAAAAATCGTCAAGGCAGTGATAACAAACCTTGACTTTCCATCCCTGAGATACAGAGTCGTCCCAGTCTTGAGTTACTACTGGAGGTGTGTGTGTGTGTGTGTGTGTGTGTGTGTGTGTGTGTGTGTGTGTGTTGTCGTGGGTATATGAGATGCGAGACGATTTACATTTAGTTCTTGATAAACCTCCATCATTTAGCCTTAACTCTATAAAATGGAATATAATAATGGAATATACTAATAGAATATACTTATGGGATATATTAACCATTAAACACCAAAGTAGAAAATTGTGTAGGATGCTGATAGAGTTTCTTAATAAATATTCTGCTAGAGTTTACTGAATCACGGTGATTGGCAAAAGGTTTCAGAGATATTGGAAAATCACTTACTTTATTTCCCTGGGGTATTAAATAACTCACTATTATTCTCTACATGGAAACTGGTAGTGATTTATTAAGGTGATCTATTTAAGGTGAGGTAAATATTAGTTTGAAATATCTCATAATGGGTTAATTAAGTCTTTTATTCTTAGCTACTTATTGAATATAATTTGACAGGTGGAAGTATTCTTAATGACTACTCAGGTAATTAAGTACACGGGTAACTAACTACACAGATGAGTATATTAATTACTCAGGGATATGGTGTTTAATTATATAGTTCAAGATTTATTATAATTACCAAAAAAGTAGAAAAAAAGTAAACAGAGTGAGTAAGGAAACACCAATTTCCTTCCATAGATAACATTGATAACGCGTTCGGCTTTGTTTACTCATTCATCATGAAGACGAAGCCAGCGGTGTGAGGAAACGAACACATACGTAAAACAAATACATTATTATACTCTACAAATACTTGTTATAATTTCTGTATTTGTACGAAAGATCATAATCATCTCCGCCAGGGAAGTAACTACAGAAAAATTACTCTGAGAAAGAATATTATAATTTAATCCAAAATTTGAAGAGAAAGAACAGACAGACAGAGAAACAGACAGACAGACAGACGGACAGACAGACAGACGGACAGGCAGACAGATGTATATATAAGCGTTTGGGATCTTTAATAAACAGGAAAGTGTCAGCCTTTGTATGTTGAAGGGAACCAGTGTACTCATGGAACCTTGATCGACTCTATTAAGCTGAATTTCTTTTTTATATCTTTTAGTAATGATTAGTTAGGTTAGGTTAGGTTTGGTTAGGTTAGGTTAGGTCCTGCCCTATCCTCCTCCTCCACCTTTGCTAATCCACCCTTCACTTCAACCACACCTCCTCCTTCCTCCACCCACACTATTTTCCCACTTCTATCACATCTCTCTCTCTCTCTCTCTCTCTCTCTCTCAGCTTCCCTCCTCCACCAGCTCTTACTCCCAAGGGCCATTCAATTTAGCTTTCGAGTCAGTCACTGTACTCTAGTCTTCTCCAACATGATCGATTTTTTTTTAAACTTCGTCTTTCTTTAGTAAAACACACAACCTAACCTAACCTAACCTAACCTAACCTAACCCTTACACAAGTCTCCCAGTGTATTATAATCATATATCACTTTAGATCATAAATAAATAAAGTAAATAAACAAATTAATAAAAACGTGAATAAAAAAAAAAAAGATTGAGGAATAAGATAGAAGACTGGAGTGAACTTTGTGAGGAGACTTGTAAGGCGCTGCCGAGACAAGAGGTTGTGGTAAGGGTCGGTGGCGTGTCTCAGTCTTTCTTCAAAAATAATATGAGAAATACTCCAAGATTCTCACTTTCCTCTCTCACCCCTCTCAGTTCTCTCGTCGTTCTCTTTCTAGTGTTGAACAAGTAGTGTTGAACAAGTAGTGTTGAACAAGTGGTGTTGAACAAGTAGTGTTTGTTTATACTTGACGACATGGTGTGTTTACATTAGTCTGAGTTGAGTTGGTAAATTGCCATGTGATGGAATTAATTAATTAACACAGAGTATTACTGACCGGGTAGAGCTAGACCATGTATTGTACTGGTCTCTCTCTCTCTCTCTCTCTCTCTCTCTCTCTCTCTCTCTCTCTCTCTCTCGTTAATTGTCTCCATGGCAACAAGCGAGTGCTTCACCCTGTTAATGCGATGTTTACTAAAAAAACACACACACCAAATAACACTACAGGATAAGATAAACATGACAAGTAACATTACACTTTTATTCGTTATTGTAGATACAAATAGAGAGTTGAGTGTGACTTGGGAAGAATATCATTATCTTGAACATTAGTTAATAAACCAACTTGAACGAAAGAATCAAAAATATTTACTTTATGATAAATGATTCTTATGGCATCAAGGTTACTCAGGAATCTTATATTACATGTGAGTTTGTTTGACTAGTATAAAGAAATAATTACATATCGAAATTATAAAACTTTTGATATATTTACAAATTTGGAACAGGTGAATGATGAACAATGGATAATTTGGTTCACAGAAAGAAAATAAATAAGAAACTTGTGATATAGAGAACTAGGTGGACTGTGTCGATACTGAACAGGTTAAGCAAAAAGAGAGACAACTGACTGTGCGTTAATAGTGTCTGTACATTTATCACTTCATCTTTCTGTGGTAAAACTTGTCACTGGAGAATTAAATATCTCGTCCCAGTGGTGTGTGGTCAAATGGGCCCGCTGTCTTAATGGACACTTAGTACATAACTTAACCTAACCTAACCTAACCAGTAAGAATCCAATATATCTTGGCCTCTTAGGACTAGGGGCCCATCAGGTTAGGTTTGAGGCTGGGGTCCAATTAGCCAGTAACACACCTCGTCCAAGGCCCTTCTCGACACCTCTCTTATTTTCACTTGAACATTAAGAAAAGTATTAAACTCAATCGTTTATATTCCCATTATGAAGTATTTGACATATCTTGTGTTGTATCTCCTAGAGGAACATGTCTTAATTCTATACATGAATCCGTCTTTACTACTCAATTGTTATTGTTTCTCACGACAGATCTAGACACCAAATGTTTCTCATTATCTCAGTTCATGTTAGACCTCTGAGTAGAATATTGACTTAGTACTTAAAACACACTTTAAAGTCAATTGAGACATACACTCATATATGTCATACATTGAGTGACTTGCAGGTCTGTTTTTTGTTTTTTTTCATTACAATTATTATCGTTTTAGTCTTTCGTTAAAATTTGTGTTGTGTGTGTGTGTGTGTGTGTGTGTGTGTGTGTGTGTGTGTGTGTGTGTGTGTGTGTGCTAACAATAGAGTTTATATAAGTGTGTAATAATAAATACAGTGAATATGGTGCTTTATCATGGTGAGTAACTAATATTGATATAGTGAATATGACGTAAGGTGATGGTGTGAGACTGATGTGTGTATGGTGAAGAATGGTGCTAATATGACTAGTGGGAGTGAATATGCAGTGCTAACCTGGTAAGGATATGGTGTAGTGTATGGTGTAATTATTATTGTATGACTATTATGGTAAAAGGTATGGTGTATATATTGTAGATCTGGGGTGTTATTATGATAGTGTATGGTGTAAATATATTAAGTGTACGTGACAGTTGAAAGTATGGTGCAAGTATTATAGATATGTGCTACTGTTATGGTGAAGTGAATGGTGCAGCTGTTATAGGTGTATTTATGTGTGATAATCTTTTTAAGGGTTATGGTGATAGTTGTCAGTGTAGTGTTATTATGTCACCATTATATAGACATCATCTAGTATGGTGTCTGCTATTTTAGGGTCTTCTAGGGAGCCGTATGTTTAGTGTAGTGGTGATATGGTGTCAGTATGGTGTCAACGAGTGATGGATGGTGTTGTTTTATGGTGTGGTGTGGTGTGGTGTGGTTATCAGTAGGTCATGTTTACTTCACCATTGTGTTTCTAACCCGTGAGATCCTCTTCCGTGGGCGTGATGATCCTCTTCCGTGGGCGTGATGATCCAATAATATTATCATTGTGGGCGTGTTAATCCTCCAGAGACACTAATATGGGCGTGGTCATCCTCCTTCAGAGGCATCAGTGTGGGCGTAATGATCCTCCAGGGGCGTCAGTGTGGGCGTGATCATCCTGTGAGGCTAACAAAGAAGGCGTAGTCAGCCAGGAGGGCGGCAGAGAGGCGTGGCAACATCTTCAGGGTAGAGTCGTGGCAGGAGGCGGCTGTGTTGACACCTTCTGCTACTTCTGCGTCCATCTCATCCTCGTACCTGTGGGAGGAGGAGAGAGACGGTTAGATAGAGAGAGAGGTAGAGAGAGATAGATAGATAGATAGATAGATATTATTTTACTATATCTGAAGATTAAACTCTCTAACCTAACCTACCCTAACATAACCTAACCTAACTAAGCCTAACCTAACCTAACCTCACGTAACCTAACCTAACATAACCTAACCTAACCTACCCTAACGTAACCTAACCTAACTAAGCCTAACCTAACCTAACCTCACGTATGTTATTACAGGTAGACTGCTAGATGGCCTTTAAAAATACACATTATCTTTAAAGTGAAGGGGGGGGAGGGGGAGGAGAATGAGGTGATTAGTATCCACATGATATCCACATCCACACTCGACCCCCTTATCCCCAATATACGATAATATTCTTAAAGCCACATAACTATATATAGTGTCTAATACCATTATATTTAATTAGTCTATGAGATATATTAGCATGATAAACAACAACAGAATGAACATGAATCCAAACACAAACACCTTCATGCCTCTAGAGTGACCTCCTCATCCTCACACCTGTCGTAAGAATCTTCCTTGGCCTCCAGTAACGCTTCCTTCGCTTCCAGTTTCATTTTGTAGAGCAGCAGAAGGTGGAAGACGCCCAGGCCGATCAATAGACCTCCTGTAGGGATATTAAATACCTGAGTTAAACTAATAAATTGTATATGTGATTTGATAGTATTGAAGGGCTTAAGGTGTCGTAATCAAAGGGTTAAGTTATCGTAATCAAGGGGTTAAGTCATCATACTGAAGGATTAACTCATCGTAATCAAAGGGTTAAGTCATCGTGCTGAAAGAGTTAAAGTAGTGGGGGGTAGGACTGCTTATTTTAAAACACTAAGGTGGCTGTTCTGATGATCCTTCAATATCACACAGTTGCTTAAAAACCACACATACTAGACATACGACACACAACCTGGATTCTTAGTAAACCGGAAGTCACTTTTTCCCCTTTAACTGGAGACGTAAAAAAAAAATGTATCTAACTACCTCAGTGAAAATACAGAAGACAATCGTATTTTTTAAAGGATATGGGAAAGACTCTGAGACTATCCTAACATGGGTCTTTGTTTCGACTCTTCTTAAGGTAGAAAAAAAAATATTATAACGTAAGATATTTTGAGAATCTGGAGTCAAGTTCTGTGGCATACTTTACCAAAATGAGAGGTAAAGTTTTAGAACCAGAGTGGGGTGAGGCGGGGCGGGGCGGAGCGGGGTGGAACGGTGAGGGGAGGGGCGACTTTATTCAAACACAGCGACCCCCGTACACAAGGGGTTTATTATTCACGTGTATTCATAGCTGTCTGAAAGAGAGAGAGAGAGAGAGAGAGAGAGAGAGAGAGAGAGAGAGAGAGAGAGAGAGAGAGAGAGAGACCAACAGGAAGAAGAAAGAGGGAAAGGGAAATAAAAAATAAAGCAAAATCATGTATCTGAGAGAAGGAGAGACTGAGAGATAAGAAGAGAATTATATTGATTGTGTGGTGTATAGCGTAAGAGAAAAGAAGAGACGTGAGGGTGGCAGAGACAGAGAGCTTGGGGAGGACGTGGCAGCTGAAGGCTCTGTAGTGTGTGTACAGTGCCACTCGCCTGAATAAACCAAAACAAATGGATCGTCTCTGATTCAACCTTATGTGTGAGACCAAGAAAATGATACTCACCTTTTATCTTATTTCCCTTTGTATTTATGCTGGAATTTGTCGGGTCATTTAAGC